TGGCTGTTCAATGACTATTATAAAATGAGCTAATAATTTGGCTGGGATAGCCTGTTTGGTAGGGCGTTGAACTCGTGTTCGTGAGAATAGGATTTCGAATCCAGCCGGCCGAAGAATACCCATGTATAAAATGGTGACTGGAGCATGTTAAATCTGCCGTGGTCACAAAGTCCTCTAAGTTCTCTCAACAAATCAATACCTCTGGGTACTGATCCAATTCTCTTGTCTTCTGGATTGAGTTCAAAATTATAAGATTATTATTCAATATTATACGGAGTTAAACATTCGTAGTCGTAAACTCAAAATAAAGTCGGTTGTTCAACGGCGGTTATAAAAAAAAATGAGACTAATAATCAAATTGTATTTTCTTATGTTCTTTCTAACTCCTTGCTTATTTTTGACACACATTCATAATTTCATGTTTCTAAGTCATAGAGCAGCAAGGCGAAAAGCAACGTTAAAAAAAAAATAAAAAAACAATTTAGAAAAATAATTCGCAAAAAAAACAAAAAAAAAACATTAATTAAAATTCCAAACATATATTCAAAATTTCAAGAAAAAAAAACTCTGTTAAGCATATAATGGTTCTTCTAACATGCCAAATCTTTACTCTGTTCTTAAAATATGCTTATGATGTTCTTAAAATGAGTTTCTGTTTTTTTTCTCGTTCAAAAAATATGTGCAATAATAGAAAGGCTCTACATTATAGTCCATCACAACCAATGTATTTAACAATCAAGCAATATTATCAAATTTTTAATAATATAATGTTAATATTCAGCAATAAAAAATACAACAGTTTACTTTAGGTGTATAGAAATAGAATTGAACTTAAAAGGGCCCCATCATTTTCAGTAGCTTAGGGCCCCGACAAGCTTAAATCCGGCCCTGCAAACCCGGTTCACCTCATTGGAAGCCGAATGCTCTATCCCTTGCGCCATCACGACTCCGTAATGAATGGTTGACCGTATGAAGCTAAACACTGATTGCGCTATGGGTTAATATTCACTGTGAGACTTCAGGGTTACTACTTACGATAGATTTTTTCGCATAATCTGGGAAAAGCACACTAACCAATATTGTTATCCCTAGTGTTCACAATATTAAGCGATCTTTCAATTTAACTGCGATTTTCTTACGTATTTTTCTACCTGTTAGTGTTTATTAATTACATTAAAATTTCACATAAATTTGTTTAAAAAAATCACAATAATATTACTTCCTAGAATATCAGGTCGTCGGGCTACCGAAGCGGGGATGCCATCCCCTCCGCAGAGGATCAAAATTGCGATGGCATGTCTTCGGATCATCCTCCGGGATGTTTCCCAGACCGTCGCCAATAGCCCATTGTGCAGCTCTAGTGCGACGTAAATTAACAACAACAACAACAACAACAACCTAGAATATCAAGCCTGTTCACACATCGCATTGTAAGCATAACGTAAGTGAAGGGATACACCGGAAGTTTTCTAAATTTCCTCCGGTCTTAGGAATTATGTTAAAGATCAACTTGACAAAGGTTTATAAGCCATTCAATATATAAAGACATCAGCGCCCTCTAGACTGCTGAATGCACATAAGACATTAATTAGTTTCGTTTTGGAAATAAGCAACAAGTGGCAACATGACACTTATGAAAAATTGTTTTTATATTTCGGCTGTCAAAAAAGATTTATTAGACTCTATATGTTAGACTATTTATTACGTTTTACGGAAAATAAAAAAATATTGGATTTTATTCAGACTTCATGTATTTGCTTCTACCCAAGTTGATTAGCTACTCTAATTAATTAATCTCATTAGATATATCCGTGTTCTGTTTCCATTATCAAAGTTTGACTTCAAAATGATCAGATAAGATGAGATTTTCCCATAGATACCATACTTCTTAAATTACCAGAGACAAATTTTGTTGTCTCTAGGATATCTGCTGTGATGGCTGCCGCTGAAGGAGGATTTTATTGTGGGACTAAATCATTTGCATGGCTTGCCGATCTTACGCGCTTGCCGCTTGATCAAGTATGATATTCCAGACGAAGTATAATTACTATAAGTTGCTTACATTTATATCTGTTTATGTTTTCATGCAAATGAATTGCGCCTTAAAAATGCGAGTACAGCTGCGATAACAACTAAATGATTTAGAATGTTTACATTTATCCTCTCCTCCTTATCCCACTATCTATCTCCCCTCTTTCTTCATGTATCATGGCACCCATTCATAAATTTCAAATCAGTGGATTACCATACTTACTAGATCTGAAAGTGAATCATTTCAGCTACTTATAAGACTGAAATATAGGACTTGTTAATTAGATCTCTGACTTAACACTTTAAAGCAGTTACAATTAAAAAAAAACAATGTACTACATTAGTTTTATGTGCTAATTTTCACAAGCTGCTTAAAGAATTGAGATGGGGAAAAAATATTAATTTAATTATCTTCCTTAATAATGCACTAATAGTTTTCAAATTATTATTTTGATCTGTAATTCAGTGCCATGCACATCCTTCTTCAAATTATTAAATGCCACAACTTTTTTTTAACAACATGCACTGAACTTATCATTCTTCGTTGTAAAAGATGCCGAAAGTGTTTTGTGTGACCAAAGTCACAGAGGCGAGCAATATTACCCACGCCACAGATACCAGTTTTATAGGGTGAGCCACACATAACAGAGGACAACATACAAAGAGAAACATTCATGCCTTGCTGAACGGTATTCGAACTTGCAGTCAGGCAAAAATTATAATTGAGAATTTTCTAAACTCAGAATACATATAATTTTTCCTGCTCAAATTGTTACTTTTTTTCGTGAAGCCACAATCACCCTTGAATTGGTTTATTTACCCTTAAGTAATTTTAGTATGATATGTGTTTTTAATTATTTTGTTAAATTTTTATTTTTAATGTATTGCCAAAAATGAAATAATTATTAAAAGTTGATTTTTGAAGTCTGAGCAAAATCATGTATTTCAATGTGGTATATTTGTTCTGTGTTTGTAAGTTTAAATATTTACAATGGTAAAAAAGTTTATATAATTATAATTTTTCGCAAGAAATATGGCGAGAATAATTTTTGCAAATTGACCGCAAAATCGTACATTGATGTAATGTTTTGGATATTTTTAAGAAATTAAGTTAATTTTCAATGGAAAAAAATAGCAGAATTTTGAAAAAAGAAAAAATACACTTTTTTTATTTACAATATGTTGAATAAATTGTGAAAAGGGTATGCATTTATAAAAATTAAGTATTTCTCATCAAGCTTTTAAATTTTGAATAAAATAACTGAATTTAAGAATAAAGGATTATCGTTCTCTGATTCTCAACTTTTTTAGAAGCCATATTTTTTCCCCCTATTATTTATCCGTACTTGCATACACTAAGAACGAATTCATAGTATTAACTATTTCATTCTTCACATTAAATAATTGTTAGTCTCCCTTTTTTGGTTAGAACCTATATTCATATTGCTTATAAACTTTGTTTAAGAAGATTGAAAATTCAAGGTTCCATTATCGAAAAATATTGGGAACTGCAGATTTAAATCAGGGGTCTGTTTAGAAGAAGTTTGAGTCCGTTAACAAACTCTTCACTAAATATCTCCATAAAAACGAACCCTTCACAAAATAATTTATCTTTTAATCAGACCCTTCACAATTTTGTTTATCTTCATTATTGTTTTGTTAATCGAATAAACCCTTCCTGGGGGGGGGGAGACGATTCAAAGCAAACTAAGTTTTCCAAGTAGGGCAATTCCATATAAACAGTGACATGACCATAAAAAAATTTTTTCAATTATTTCTTAATAAATTAAGTGGATAATTAATCTGAACTATTGTAGCAGTTGTGACAACAGNGAGTTACTGTGGAAGTACCCAGTAGCCCTAAGTTTAAAATCCAAATGTAGTATTCCAAGAAAATGTTTCTACTCTTACAAGCATTGTGTGCTAATTCTTATTGATATTAAATGATAATTTTGTTTTTTTTTGTAAATAATTGATTGATCAATTTATATTCATAAAATTAATTCATAGAATAATATTATGTAAATAAAAATTAATTTCTCACAATTTTTTAAATGAAATATTATAAATTTAAGATTTGTTTAAGTTTATTTAATGCGTAACACATAAAAATTAATACATAACTAAGTTGTGCTATTTAAAATATGTAAATTGAAATTATTACTGTAATTTTACTTTCATACACCGATCTAGATGGGACCAATAATCAAGTGTATATGCTACAGAAATAATTGTGCTCCGGAATAAATCCGGATTTTTCGGTAAACGCTATCCGGAAATCCAAGATCGAAAAGTTTCAAGAAATTATTGATCACATTTATGCATTAAAAAAAATTTATGTTTTATTTAGAAATATTAGAACTCGAATTTTTACTTGGCATCTTTCTCATTAGTAAATATTTTTTCTAGTAGAAAAATAAATGTTATTAGAGATAAAAGTAAACTTGTGCATAATTATTCATTTAAATTATGCTGCATATAATTTATTTAGAATTTCATGTTTTGAAAATATTAATGATTTAAATTTATAAAGACATTAATTTTTTGCAATACGTAATTAATGATTTTATTAGAGAAATTTTCAGGATTTTTGAGTTGGGCTCTCACTCACCCCTGATCAGGGTTCGCCAAGTGGGCCCACTTTGAAAAAACCCGCCCGGGTGTTATTGGGTGCCCATCTTGAAAAAACCCACTTAAAACGATGAGTGGTTTTTTTCATAAAAAATATAAATGTTTTGATTAATACTTATTGATGCACATTTAATTTTATATAATTTATTGTGCATCATAAATTTGTCAAATAGAGTTGCATGATTGATATGATTAAATTTTTTATATTTGAAAAGTAAAGGAAACTCGAATCTATAATTTTATAGTAATATTGAAAGATTTAAGTGGGTTTTTCAAAAAGTAATATTTTAATGAAATTGAATACAGTACAGAACCCGTTATCCGGAAATCAGAAAACCGGAACGAAATTCAATAAATTTTCTCGCCATTTTTTTAAAAAAAGTTTTTTTTCCTCATAAGATTTTACGATTTTTCTTTCTTTTTTTAACGATTTTACCTTACCATAGTTTGGAAATAATCATTAGTGTATTACTTCAGCTTTTTTTCTTATTTTTAAGATTATTTCCAAAAAAAATTTTTTTTTTCAGTTGGGTTTAACAATAAAAAAAACGGCTTTTTGTAGCGATTCAGAAAACCGGAAAAATCAGTTATCCGGAATAGCGATGGTCCCGACCGTTCCGGATAATCGGTTCCCTACTGTATTATCAAAATTTAAATAATATAGTCTGAAAAGAACAATTTTAAAATATATTCGCATGCTTTATATATTAATAAAAAGGTTATTATTATTAATTCCTACATTTAAAAAAATTGAAAAGAAAATTGAAAAAAAAAATTCCTTTATACTAAGTGATAAATTAACAAATTTAAACAGTTTTATTTTTCTAGCTTTAAATATATAAGTTAAAACTCTTCAAAATTATTTATCTAAATATGAAATCATTTTCCTAGAGTCATTTATTTGAAAAAAATTATTTACTGATTTAAATTTTATAATAGGAAATATGTGTATGTATATATATATATATCAGGGGTCTGCCCAGGCCTAATTTACTACCATTTAGCGGTACCTTCACAAATTCAACTTTACGAAAAACGATAGTTTCACGAAATACTTTTTCTTAAAATTTTATTTTTGTATCCCTTAAAAGAAGATAAATTAATATTTTTACCATATTTTTGTGTTGATTTTTCAATATAATTTTTAATTTTTCGCAAATTATGTCTAAATTTTCACAAAATAGGTACCTCTCAGAAAAACCTAGACAGACCGCTGCATATATATATATATATGTGTGTGTGTGTGCGTGTGTGTTTAATAAATATAGTAAATGTGTGTGAAAACAAAAAGATTAGTAAACTTGCTCCTTTTTTATTACTGCATTTATATTTTATAATGCTTAAGTTAAAAATTGTGAGGCGTTATGTACTTAGCAGTAGAGAAAATTGAAATATGTATTAGTGATAATGTGTTATTTAAACTTAATATAAAATACATATAACAAAATTAAGATAACTTTAGATTTACTTCTGTTTTTAAGCTTATACAACACTTTTTTATAAAAATATTTATGCACTAAAACTTAGTTTATGAACACGAAATGAAAAAAACCAATTTTCCCCCGGTTTTTTTTCAAATAAAACCCAATTTTCCCCTGGTTTTTTCAAACCCTGCCCCTAATGCTACACAGAAAATTTGAAATAATTTTTTTTTTTTATCTTTATTTTTTAGGTGAACTTCTTAGTCTGCCAATTTACTGCTCTGATCTTTGCCTTTATTTACCGAAGGGTATTTTCTCCTCAAAAAGTATCTACGGAAATTCGGCATGTTGTTGCTCTAGCTATAGGTGCTGGATTGGGCTATTTTTGTTTTGGATAGTAAGTATACTTTTACAATTTATAAATTTAGTTTTGCAGTTGACATGCTTTTTACTTAAAAGTAATCAAGTTCCTAACTTCATCTATTATGCGGTTATTAATATTCTATAGTTTAAATACTGTTATCATAGCTTATTGTTTTACAAAAAATAACTCTGAATTCATTATTGTGTACAGGGAACCTTGTACAATTGGAACCAATTAGTTCTATATTCATCTGATTTTGTTTGTATTAATACTTTATAAGAATGACCTGTAACAGAAATTTTCCTCGCTTAAAGATACAAGTGCAAAGCATATGTCAAGATTTGAGGCATCAAAGACTTAATCTTATCTGCAAAAGAGGGAATCCCAAATTTTGAGCCATCTATGATTTATACTCTTAAAGTTTTGATTTCGTTAATATTGAAGGTTTTATTCAGAATAATAATGAGAAAGTAATGTATATAAGTTATTAATGTTTAAAAAAGTAAATAAAAAGGCAATACAAGTGCTTTTGAAACTTATTAAATTTGTGTAATAAAGACTGAATAAAAGACTTGTTCTGCCAAAAGTAATTCATTTGAGATCTAATTGACAAATCAGGTCTTAGTCTTTACAAATATATGAAAATATTGAGCTGAAATAAGAAATTAAAAACGATTATAATATTTAAATTTTCAGTTTTTGGTTGGTAATGATTATAATTATAACCATTTTAATTTTTAAAAAAAATGTTAAGTGCTTAAGTTATAGCGTTATTTTTAAGCATTAATTAAGCATTACTAATATATTTTAACAAAACTTTGATTTGTATATCATATACTGCATATGTAAAAAAGTAAATAAATAAATGATAGTTTTTGCCTCCTCTGATTGAATAGTATTCTGTCATCAGAAGTTTGTTATGAACAAAAAAGAAATTGTCAAGGAAATAAAAATCAAAAATTAAACTTTTCTTAAGTTTATGGAGGAAAAAGTATCTTAAAAGATAAAATGCATTTAATATCTATCTATTACAATTTGCATATAGCTTGTATTTCCCTTTTGTTTTGAAATGAAAGTAAATAAAACTAATGATTTGTAATAATTTTTCAAGAAAAAAACTCAAATTATTTCAATTTTGTCCAATAAAAACATTCAGTGCTCGGATAGTAATTTTTATTTATTTATCGATTTATTTAGATAATAGATATTAAAAAGACCTGTTGTGATTAATTTTGTTTTTCTTGCAGTATGATCTCTCACTTAGTAGTACAGTCAACTTTCTGTTATTTAATTATGAATTATGTTAGTCCTCAACTGATGCATAGGTAAGATTTAATTTTTTTTCTTCATGTTTGAGAACTTTTTGTGAATTGCATTTGCCTTGTTGCTGCATTTTTTTTTTTATTTCAATATTATATATTGCATGATGATTATAGATCATGTTATTTATATGTGGTCATTTTAGAAGAAATATGGATACTTTACAAAAAAAAATGTATTGTTTAAATGGATCCTTCCCAAAATAGTTTATATTATAAATGGACTATTCACAATAACTGTTTCAATAATTAATGCATGGTGTGTAGCATTTTTAAAAATGCTTATTTTTGTTTTTAAAAGCCGTTAAAGGGGCTTTCTATCATTGAGTGTTTGTTAAAAATGCTTGGTTTTCTCTCCAAAATCATTTTTTTTTTCTTTACCATGTCAATTGTTGCCATGAAGTATGCATAAAGCATTGTTTTCTCACTGTTCCATTTAATATTTTCACAATTCATTCAACCACAATCAATTTCAGCATACAAATGGATTACTGTTGGATATGAATTATTTCAACGTCCACATGCACTAAACTGGATTCTTTGGGATAGAATCTTGCATTCTCATATGCAATTCTGCTGCATTTTTTGAAAGGTTTCCGATTTCAGGCTTCACTTCCCGCCCTCTGACATCAAACTGAAAATCTCTCGAAATTTTTCAAAACACAGACATCAACTAAATATTGCCAAACTTTTTTTCTGAAATGGCAAGGAAAATTTTATTTCTCTTGTTAATTCCTTTACTTGTGAAGCACCATTATCTTTGTGACTGGCAAGTTAATAATGTTTTTGCACTGTTGTATTTATAGATCAACACCACAATCATTGAACTTCACTTAGGTCTCGCTTACTAATAAAATACTTTCATATGAAAGCAGTCAACAATCACAGAGCTTTATAACCTCAAATTTTTTGTCTCCCTTCTAATAATTTTCTTATTTTGTGAAAATTTAGATGTACTTTTGAGAAAATTACAGTAGGATCCCGATTATCCAAGTTAATTTGAACCGCGACTAACTCGGATAACCCAAAAACCCGGTTAAGCCAAGGAGTATAAAAAAGAAAAGTAAAAAAGCATGTATAAATGTAATATACTTAACAAATACAAAATTTATACCAGTGCAAAAATTCGTATTATAATCAAAGAGTTTGTATTTAAAAAAATCCTTCATCATTTTTTGTTTTGCATTACTTTGGCTCTTTTCTGCAGCAATGTTTTGCCATTTTTTTGCAATAACAGGAAAGCTAGTGTCGCCTCTTCTTATTGTTCCATATATTCAATAACACTTTCGATAGCTTTTAGTCCATCTGTATGGCAGATTTTTATTTGTTGATTTTCATCGTCTCTGTCTTTATCATCTTTGCTAGATTCATTTTCATTATTGACGATAATGACAATCTTTTCATCCGGTCAAATTCTTGGATTTTGTTTTCTTGAGTGTTTGAAGGAAAATATTCAGAATCATTTCAGAGGTAGTATTAAAAATAAACTTGTGCAAAAAAAATCCTTGGAAACTTTTGATAGCTCGGTTAAAGCAGAAACTCGGATATTCAGGACTTTACTATATATTTAAAAAGCATCATAAAAATATGGTAAAGTAAGAAAATATTTTCAAAAATTGTCACTGCAAATAAATATCATTTAAGACTGGTAAATTTATATACATTTTCCCCTATATATTTAAAAACAATTTTGTTATTGTAAAATTTTGGGCTTAAAATTGTATCCATTCCAACGACCAGTTAAGCTTACCACATTGCACTATCTGACCAAACTAGTGCTACCTATTTGTAGAAAACAATTGGCAGGTAAGCTTCTTTTTCCCATAGATTACGATGAGAACGCGGAACATTGTACTAGAGCCTTTTCTTCCACCTCAATTAAGGAACGGAGCGGCTAGCTTTTTTTCTCCTGAGGCGTTTTGGGATCCAGGCATAGGGTGGAAAAGTGCTCTTCTAACAAACCGGGTGAAAAGCGATCTCTTCTACGTCACATAATAGTAATTCTTGGGAGGTTTCCATTACAAATCAAATTGGGCTGTTAACCCAAGATTTATCGTTTTTTACGGGGATTCAAAAACAAAATTTTAAGAGGCATGGAGAAGACTCTTAGAATTTGCTTTTTTAAAAGTATTTTGTGAAGGTACCGCTGAATGATAGGACATTTGTCCTGGACAGACCCCTGGATACCACTGCATTTTTGAAGGTGTTTCTGGTATAGTCTCTTTTAATGTCTTTTTCCAGAAAATGTTATTTTTAGCTTTAAAATTTTGCTTTAAGATATTTTTTTCAATTTTTTTCTTTTTAAAAAAATAACATTACAGCTTTATTTTTTATTTATTTATTTATAAAATATCTGTTAGTTTTTGTTTTCCAGTTGAGGAATTATATAATCAAGTTCCAAAATAAAAAGTAGTGACTCCTCCAGATTGTAAATATTAATTCATACATTTATTCCTGCATCTATTTTACACTTATTTCATCACTATCACTGACTTTTGTTTAACAAAAATTAATCAAAAGATGTTTCCTTCACTAAACTCTGGTATGTAATCATAGCTATCAACTATACTGGATTTTCCAGCCGACTACTGAATTTTGCCAGTTTCTCCTTGTGTACCGGTTTAATAAAAATAGTTTTTGTACATGTTAGAAAGTTTCGTAAAATTTTTAAGTTCTCTATATAAATCCCTTTTTAAGTAGAATTTTAGGGCAGATATGTGAATATTTAAATAAATATTACTAATATATAGTGAATCAAGCCTCATTCATAAATTTAGTTTAAAACTTTTCTTTTGTTCTATCTCCATTTTTAAATTAATTAAAAGTGTCTTTGAACTATCTTTGATGAATTGAATGCTTATTTGTATTCAAAGTTCTGAGTAAATGTAATATATAGCATCTCAAGTACATTTTATGTCAACCATAACTCAAAAATATTGCAGTCTTTCTATTTGGATGACTATAAAAATCCATGAAATTGCCTATATGTAAAATATTTAGTACATTATGCAACAATTATCATGAAATTTATATTATTTTGCAAAATCTACTGGATTTTTTTCCTATCCATGTTAGCAGCTATGTGTAATATTCTCTTCACATTAGTCAGAGTAAGAAATTTTGATAAATTCCACCAATGTGTTCTATTTCTATCTTTACAATTCATTGGTTTAGGCTGAAAATCCCTGACACAGTTACTAGCCTCTTTGAAAAAGTTTATATTATTATTGTCCAAAAGGTGTTTGATTCTAGAAATGCCTTTTTCCTACATGTAGTTTTAACAACAATCATATTCTATTTTATTTGCTCTGCTATAACACTGTAGTAGTGTTACATCCTATTTGTTGCCTCTTTTCCAACACTTTGTTATGATGTATGGTTTTCTATTAAAAACTTCCTTTCATTTTGAATAATATCACCTTTTTTTTTAGTTCTAGTTAGGAACATATCAATCTATCACCTGTCTTTTATTGTCTTTTAGTTGCTCGAGATCCAGTAAAATCTTTTTGAATGTGTTACATTTGAAATTCTGTGACGCAGGCTGAATAAAATCAGAAAGTAATCAGAATCACTATCTGCCCATCATCTTGAGGCTCGATTTGGTTATTCTAATTAGTTCCTGGAATATACCAAGTTTCTTTAACAAGTTAAGTTAAACAAGTTCAAGTTTAAGTTAGGCAAACAAGTATTATTAGCAGATGCCATAGTAATTACTATTCTTCCATTATCATTACATTGTGAGTGAAGACTGTGTTTCCTTATTACTTCTTCATAGGTTTCTTCTATTCCAATTTTTTGCTTTAAAATCTCCTTATATGATTAAACAGTCACTACTATTTTATGAATAAATGCCTGTAAATCTTTATAAAATTACCACTCTCTTTAGAATCTTACTAAGAAGAATGAACATTAATTAACGTAATAATGTGGAATTTTCCCCTAATTTTTACATTGCATATTTAGCCATTAGTGGGGCTGAAGCCAAGCATTGTTTTCAGCGCCTACGGGGAATCCTGTTGCTCCAAATGCCTCACCTTTACCGAGGTAAATGGGCTTGTGCATATCAAGGACCCAGTTAGCTATGCTGAGCAAGGTCACCCATGTGAGACAAGTCTCTGGTGAGCACCAGACTAAGAGTAACGCTGGTACTCCAGGTTGGGTTCAGGCTTGACTGATTTACCCCGTAAAAAACCCACTGTCAGGAATGCTGGACATAGAAATTCCGGTATGACTAAAGGTGACTACTGACCAGGGTAGGATTTTTGACATTCAAAACTAGTTTTTGACATTTGTCAAAGAATGTGTTAAGCTATCAAAATCCATTGAAAACCTAGGGCATGTTTCTTTTTTGGCATAGGAAACATTTTATTAGATACTAAATCATGCACAATGCTTGAATTATATACTTCTATAACTATGATTTATATTATATGTCACATAAAAAAATGCTGTCAAAATCATTGAAACTATTAATTGCTTTTTCTAATGGTTATCTTAATACTTTCAGACCCATATTATAACTATTCAGTTTATATTATAGGTTCTATGAGTTGTTGATCATTATCAATCAAAATATTGATTTTAATTCTTTTAAGTTACAATTCACACATATTTTTTTATTAAGTAAAATTAAAGTGTTTGCCAATAATTGTCTGATCTCATCATACAATTTTTTTCATTGATTCTTAATATTTGTCATTATGAATTATATTCAGCGGAGCAGGACATGTCTGGCCACTCAAACAAACCTTTGGAGGAAATTCAGGCAGCAGTTGGAAAATTTTTGTTTAAAAAAATTCCTACAAAATTTTGTTAACAATAGGTTGCTTTGCAAAACTTTTTCTTGTTAAAAAAAACATGTCAATTGATGTATTTATTAGTTTGAATTTATTAAATTAATAAGTGGGGCCTTTATTTTAATAAATTATTACTATTTCTATATATTTTGATTTATTTTATAACACATTCGCTCGTTTGTTCAAGAAATGTATCAAATCAAATGATCAGTTTTTTTCTTATATAAACTTAATTTTCTAAGAATATTTTGAAAAAGTTATTGTTCTGAAAAGAAGCTGAAATTTTGGGGAAATTTTTTGATCCAAAAAGAAACTTAGTTCATAGAAATTATTTGACTCTGAGAATTTTCTGTAATATTGCTTATATGTATGAATATTTCCAATGTTAGTGAACAAATATAAATTAGATTAATATATAATTTTTTCACTGATTTGTAAACTATTTATAAAAATTATAGATGTTTGTTTAAATAAGAGTTTTTCAATCAATCATTTCAAGGATTTAATTAAATTACGATTAATATTTAGTACAGTATTAGAATAAATTTCCTATTTCCCTTTTTTTTTATTATGTTATGATAGCTTTAGTACAGCTACTTTCTAAACTATGTAGCTCAACATCAATTGAAAGTATAAAGAATTGTTTCGAATTTCAGGCTTATTCAAATAAAATTAAATAAACTTAAAGTACAGAGAACTTAAAAAAAATAAAAATAATAATTCGTGTAATTGTATGCGTTTATTAAGCTGATTTTTTTCTTCATTTTTATTGATGATTATTTAATATTTTCTGCCCCAAACTTTGGATATTTGACAGTAATTATCAAAACAAAGAGAGAGTTAAATATCAAAATAATTCTGGAATATAAGGGATTAATCACTTGTAATTTTATTGGTATGTTTATTTATAAATACTTCCTATTTGTAATATCTAATAATTATCTTTTCACTAAAATTTTGGGTTTTCGACTCTTGTCAAAATCTATATCAAAAAGTGTTTTTTGACATGATGGATAAAACCTCGATTAAAACCGGATAAAGCTGTCAATTGTCAAAAACTTGACAACCCTGCTACTGACCTAGACCAAATGTAGGAAAATGACTTTTTAGAACAGTTTTATCTGTGGGAAAAATGATGGAGGTGGCTTTGATCATTAATCCTATTATGTTTTGGAATGTTTTTATTGTCAACAATGCAATAATTTTTAAACTCTTTTTAATATTTATTTTATCCCTTTGTTTTATTATCTTTCTTTACATGATAGAGTTCCATTCTTGTTAAACTAGGGTATTATTACTTAATTTATTTTACCAAAGAAATCCTTCAATTTTGAAAATGCTTTATATGGTTGTAAAAACTAACTGAATGTCTTAAATATTAATCTTAATTATTTCTTATTTGATCTAGTGTTTAATGGTACAAAGTTTAACCTTTGTTATAAATCAATAGTAAAAGTTTAAGAAATTTTAATTCTTTCTATAGAATAGTGCTATGTGCCTCTCTTGTCTATTTATCAGTCATGCACCTGATGCGCCTCACCTATGATTATGGTGGCTGGACAGTAGACGTTACTGGGTAAGGAAGTTTTTTATTTACTTCGTTAAAATGCAATTAATGCTATATATTTCTAACTTTCTCCAAACTTTACGTCGCACAACAAAATTTTTCGACTCGAACACACTGCCTGACACGATGCTGAGAAAAAGAAAATGTAAAGAATTTTATGTTTTTCGTGTGGACTGACATGAGATGTGCATCTTATATTTAAAATTTGAGAAAAATAAATTATTGAGTTGGTAAAAAAGTAATTTTGTATTTTTTTAGCACCAAATAAAACTCAATTATTTTTCTGTATGCCGTCAAATTATTTATTTAAAAGTTGGAAACCATACTTTCAATTTTAGTTCCATTTGTATTTTTTTTTTCAGGCCATTAATGATCAGTACACAAAAAGTGAGCAGCCTCGCTTTCAGTCTTCACGATGGCCTCACAGAGAGTGATGGAAACCTCTCTCCAGAACAGAAGAGACGTGCCGTCAGGTTTGCAGTTATTTACTCAAATATCTCTTTTCTTGAATTTTGAACTGTTTCTAATTTCTGAGCTATGCTTTACGATCTGTGTCCAGGATAAGAAGCTCACCAACGTTTTGTCATTTCAATCCAAATCATTTTCTCGGGCAACGATAGAAGATGTATATAAATAATAACGAACGATAAATTGTAGATAATATAATAATAAAATGAGACAATTATTATATTAGAAATAACTTTTTATCCTTAAAATGGAAGTGTGGAGCTTTATATATGCTCATCAAAGATTTATCTTTTCAAAATAAAATTAATAAATACAAATTTTTAATAATGAAGTAAAGTGTACAGTCTGCTAATAAAAAAACCCACCCTGAATAACTTTTGATCTAATGATCGAATCTTCACCTTCAAAGATTCAATCTTAATGGTTCGAGGTACTTACCTAAAATATGCTAATTCGACGATATTTTAAGTTACAAAATTGAATATAGAAATGTATTTTCTCTGAATAAACATAACTTTTTTTTTCGACAGATACGGATGTCTGACCCACGAAATGTAGGGGATAGTCGCAATCTGGAAAATATAATCCCAATAGTTTGGTCTGAAGAATGTTCCTAAGTTTGGACTTCCTATTGTTAATTGTATTTATTATTATTATTTATTTATTTTTGCTTATTTCGCCATATCGCGAGAACTTTTTAAGGGAATTTAAAAAATTTTGCATGCAATTATAACATTTGTTTATCCAAAGCTAATTCCATGCAAAAAAAAAAAAAATATTAGTAAATATGTACTATTTTTTATCATTTTATTTGATAAGAGTCTAAAAACTTTAGTAAAGTATGTAAATTTTTACATAATTATAAAGTATATAATTTTACAAGGCAAAGTACAAAATTTGAGCGAAATTGGTTGAATAGTTCCTGAGAAATTGAATTTTAAATATACCGCTTTTTTAAAATTCGTTTCCTAAGGAACTATTCAACCAATTTTGATCAAATTTTGCATTTTGTGATGTGAAATTGAGATACTTTAAAAAAGTGGGAAAAATTTTATACCTTACAAATAAAAAAAAATTTTTACCCTTACTAAATAAAATAATAAATATTTACTAAAATTTATTTCTTCATGGATTTATCATCAGATAAATGAATTTTATAACTGTGTGCAAGAATTTTGAATTCGCTTGAAAAGTTCTCCACTGATAGCGAAGTATGCAAAAAGTAAAATTAACATTAAAGAGTCCAAGCTTTGGATCACTTTCTGACCAAACTATTGAGCTCCTATTTCCCAGATTGCGTCTACCCCTATATTTTGAGGGTCAGGTATCCAAATCAGTTGGAAAAAAAGTATGTTTATTTAGAAAAAGTACACTTTTGTATCTGATTTTGTAACTCAAAATATCATCTGTAATATCATTTATTACAGATGATTATCTCAAAATATCATTTATTAATTAGCTTATTTTCAGTCACCCCCTCAAACTATTAAGATTCAGCCGTAGAACATGAAGATCCAATAATTAGATCAAAAGCTATTCAGAGTAATCCTTTTCTTCTTCTTTTTTGTGCATTGCACAACTGAAAGGAATCCGAACTCGGCATATCATCATGGTTAAGCAAAGGTTCCATAATTTGCCTAGTAATTGGTTTTAAATGTTATAATTCTGTTTTAATTGACGCTTTAGAAATTTTAAAATTTGCTGTCCAAGAGGTATTAAAAACGACTATTCTAAGTTAAAACTAACTTTAAGCAAACTTTTAAGGTTTTTCTAATTTCACATAAAAGATATTCTATATTGATAAATTGATCACAGCTCTAGTGTGTTCTAACCCTAACAAGACAACATTCCCAAGTTAAAGTTTTGAAATTCAATAAAAATTTTACAAATATTAGAAGAACTGATTTAAAATTCATAGCCGGAAAATTAGTTGCTTAATTACAATGGTAAAACTACAACAAAAATTAATAAAAATGGACATTTTTAACGCCAAATGCAACCTTGCATGTCGAGAAAACCTTGAAAAACCAAAACTTCTGAAATAATTATTTTATCACATCATTTTAAATTTGTTGGAGAGTGATTTTGCATTCTAAAATATACATTTAATGTTCCATAGCACTTTTTCTACTACAATTTATAAAAAGTATAAGCAAAAGACTATAGTTTTCTGCCATTTTGTTTGACCCATTTTAAAAAAACTTGTATACATTTTTTTAAGTTAATCACGCATGGTATTATTTCTTTCATATCAGTTACACAGACTAACAAGGCGCTTTTTTTTCATTTTTATGTTAAAAAATATTGCATGTGGAATTGTTTATCTTTTTAAAAACTCTTTTTAAAAAAAAATAATAAATCTTTGTGAACATTTAAAATAGTAATGTCGCTGCATGTTAATATTGTGAATGTTGTATCATGACTTTTCTATTCAAGATTTTACGGAAACTGAAATAAGTTTTAAAGAATAAAACACTGAACCATTTTATGAAAACTGAATCTATTTGCGAAACGCTGAACAATGATTTAGAAAACATTTTGGATTTCGATAATAGAATAGAAATTTGATGAAATATTCGTAGGTGGGGAGGAGGAGGAGGAAACTGAAGAAATGTTTAATATTTCATTTGAAACAAAAGAGGAGATTGTTGGACACTAGCACAACAGTAAAAAAATAATAAATAATAAGCATTGCACACTACAGGCTGTTCAAAACAGTAATTCTAGGAAAAAAATGCATAAATTATGTGACATTTAAAAATATATTTTTATAAGGTTTGTGGATGCAAGGTGCGAAGCATTTAAACGTGTATGAATCACACTTTAAAAATTGTACTTTTAAAAAGTGCTCTCAATACAAATACCAGTAAAAAGTAATCTGGAATTAATAGTAAAGATCCGTGTTTGCTCAGGAAATAGAGCTTTTGTCTTCCAATGCGGTGGACCGGGTTCGAATCCCAGCAATGGCTCGTTGATAGGAATTCCACTCCCGGCTCGCGTCTACCACAATAGACTGATCATGAGTTAGAGTCTCCTTGCCATTAGGCTAAGCATGGGGGGGTTTTGTGGTTTACCACTCCATGTGAAACAAATGCAGGTTAGTTCTGTGGTGTACACAACATACTAGGTTCAAGTACCAAAGTTAGTGATCTGACAAACCTGTAAACTTCATTGTGTCATCAATGTATTTTTTTAATCTTCTTCCTGAAGTATAACGAACTGAACTGAATTTCAAATGAATGGAATGTATACGATTGACCTACCTAAAAATGCAGAAGTTAATACACGCAACCTATCTCACCAAAGTTCCCTCAAAAAGTCCTTCACGATATTAGGCTCTAAATTAAAAGGCTACGGCATTGAACATTAGTAGTCGTTAACCTTAGATTGGGCCGGCTGCGCAAGGAGGGTTATAAAGCTGTCTAAAAAAACCATGTTATGAAAAATGTCCAAGTATTTATAATTGTATGATTTTGGTAAGCCTAACCCAATATTCAGTATTATTTTACTCTCTTCTTAATGCAATTTAGCTGCTAATTTTTTGGATATGGTTAATCTATAAGTTTTAATATCTGTAAAAATGTCACTGAATTCTGTGAGTTTAGTTAGGGAATGTTTCCTTGTGGGAAAAAGATTTTATTGTAGAAAAGATTTGATAGAATATAAATAATTTGGCATGATAGCAACTGCATTGGAATTTTTTTTAATTTCATGATCAGCTTCCTGAAATGTCACCATTTCATCCCTCACTGTTGAACTATTGTAAACAAAAGAAATATGGAGCATTTCTGAATTAAACAGAATTTTTTGAGAATATTTTCTCTGAAGCTAATTTGGTTTCATTTTTTTTCCCTACATAAACAAGTCAGAAAGATAGATGTTAATTGACCTTGAGATGCTTATTGGTGCCAAAATGAAAGCCTTTTTAAAATTACTGTTATAACTAAAAACCTTCTAACTTCTTTTGTTAACTTATAATTTATACAAATTTTGATTGGTTAGAAGTAGTTCGGATAGATCCACTTTTTTTTGTTTTATAATTATTTTTTTATAAATATTTTTTACTGTGCAAAAGGTGATAATTCAAATCTTTTGTGAATTGCCATGTTTGAATGTTAATATAATGAATGTGCCAACAAAAGTTGCTGCTATGTTTCAGGCATGTGCCAACAGTACTTGAGTATTACAGTTACATCTTCCATTTTCAAGCCCTCATGTGTGGTCCACTCATCTTTTATAATGACTACCTTGACTTTGTAGAAGGAAAAACGTGTGTCAAAAACACTAGTCCAAATGTGAGTACCAGACATCCTCCTATTATAATAGCAGCCAACTGTAATAGATTTTCCAGTGGACTACTGGATTTTGCCAGTTACACCTGGTCTACTGGTTTAGTAAAAATTCGCTAGGTTTTTGTACATTTTAAAAAAATCCCTATTGAAATAAAAATTTTGTGCAGATTATTGCTTTCTCGAATATTTAAATAAGTGTTAATAGTACATAAAAAGGCAAGTTTCATTTTTACAAATCAGTTAATTATTTTTGATGAATTAAATACGTATTACTATTCAAAATTACAAGTAAACTTAATACATAACATTTCAAGTGCATTCAATGTCAATGATAACTGGAAAATATTGCAGTTTTTTTATTTTGATGATTATAAAAAAAAAACTAAAATTCCCTAGGTATAAAATATTTAGAACAATTTTTAGTACTTATCGAGAAATTTATATTTTGTAAAATCTACTGGATTTTTCCCTATCCATGTTGGCAGCTATGTATTATGTTCCCTCAACACTCACTTATTTTAATTGTTCTAATGATTGTTCCTCCCTAGATGATTGTGCTACGCAAAGTGCTGGTGAGCATTTTCTGTGCCCTCTTTTTAGTCACCATTGTACCATTCTTCCCTATCACTTATTTACAAGGTATGTTGAAGAAACTATTATTCTTTGGAAACGATAATTCAAATTAAATCTTAGAAGTTCCTTTATAAGAAAGTACAGTACTTTGGCATTATCCTGCCAACGCTCTTGAAATTGCACAAATCCTTTGACGCCATCATAATGAAAAGCAATTTCTCAAATAAATATTCTAAACCCTTTAAATTTATCAAATAATAGTAAAATAATAATAACAAAAAAAATGTAGGTGTAAAAATACTTTTTAAAAAATTATATAATAAAAAAAATAAAAACAGAATAAAAACCTCTATTTTTTTATAATTACACATTAAATAATTCTTGAATCTAACCATATATATTAAAATAAATAATTTTGGCTGCCAAGAGAAAATTGCTGTAATAATCTGTTTGAAATATGCTTTTTTCCCTCTAAATTAGCTAGAGTAATGAAATTTTGTTNTAATAAAAAAAATAAAAACAGAATAAAAACCCCTATTTTTTTATAATTACACATTAAATAATTTTGGCTGCCAAGAGAAAATTGCTGTAATAATCTGTTTGAAATATGCTTTTTTCCCTCTAAATTAGCTAGAGTAATGAAATTTTGTTGTTTGCAACTAATCACCAAAAAAAAAAATTTCTACTCCTTGAACAATTCTAAAAAAGTAACTAAAAAACAAAGGATCTGAGAGACAAGAAATAAAAAAGCAAAGAGATCTCATATTTCACCCTTCCAACTAGCTGGTCTAAAACTTAATCTTTTCTCCTTATAGAAAGGCAAAAATATATAAAAACCTATGCTTAAATCTGAGATGTGAGCAAAATTTTTAGTGGTTCAAATGCAGGATGATAAAAAAGCAAGCAATAAGATATAATTTTTTTAATAATGTATAATTTTTAGTTCAGTACCTTTATCTAAGTGTTACTTTTATTTATTTAATAGTCAGAGATGATTGTGCTCCAGAAAAAATCTGGATTTCCGGATATTTTGCAAATCGGGATCTGGAAAACTAAGGTTCAGAAGTTTCAAGAAATCATTGATCACTTTTATGATGAAAAATTCTTGTTTATTATATTTAAAAATATTAGAACTAGAATTTATACTTGGCATCTCTTTCATTTAAATTATGCTGCATATTATTTATTTATAATTTCATGTTTTGAAAATATTAATGATTTAAATTCATTAAGACATTAATTTTTTGAAATGCGTCATTAATGATTTTACTCAAAAATTTTCAGGATTTTTGAGTTGGGCCCACAATCACCCCTGAATTGTTCACTCGTGCGTAATTTTATTAATATTCTATACCTACGTATTCTTCAATACTGTGTATATTTCTGTACTGTTATACTTTTGATTACTGATAGCAAGTTAGGAAAGTTAGCACGTCATGAAAAAGACTTAAATGCGGGGGGGGGGGACAAGTATTTTTAAAGAAGGTTGTTGTTTTTTTTTTTTTCATTAAAATATGCTTAGATAGTCTATTTACATCGCACATACTTTAGTCCCTTTTTTCATTCTAGATCCAAAGTTCCTAAATTTCACTCCATGGTACTCCAAATTGATGTACCTCATTTTGTCAACTTCAGTAGTGAGATCTAAGTATTATCATGCATGGCTTTTTGGTAAGGAACATTACTCTTGAACTTACTTAATCAAAGAACCTTTTGCTGAATTATTTTCTTATTTAGGTGAAGCTGTATGCAATGCCTCTGGTATGGGTTTTAATGGTTACACAGCAGACGGTCATTCCAAGTGGGATCTTATGTCAAATGTTGACATAATAAGATTTGAGGTACATCATATTCTTTTTCCATTCTCTCAGTTGTTATTTAAGAAAAATGTTAAATGCATACATATATATATATATGCGTGTGTGTGTTATATATGTGTGCGTGTATATATATACACAAATAATAAAATAATATAAAATAGAATTTATGGGGAAAAGCAAAAGTCTTCCTCAGGACACGTCTGTTGTTATAATTTATTGCGATATTTCTGAATAAAGAATAATTATCCTAAGATAAAAATTATTCTTTGTAATGTGTCGATATCACTAAAAAATTCAGTTGAAAAAGAGAATGAAATAAAAGAAAGCAGAAACCAAACTTACCGCCGTGTAGCAAAATAAAATGTGCTTCAAAAGTAAAATACAAATTTGACAGTTAACAAATTTCGCGAAGAAGAAAAATATTTAAAGTTGTGCTTATAGCTTGAATCGTACAAAATAAAATTAAAAAACATATTTGGTCGAAGAAAATTAATATGTGTATCTATATATATATATATATATATAGCATTGGGTATATTAATACAATATTTGAAAGCACACTTTCTTGTGGTTATAACAATGTGTACTGAAGACAAGGTTATATCTTTTCCTTATTTTATTTTCTGTTTTAGTTTTTTTTTTTTTTTAATTTTAAATATTTTATTTATTAAGAATTTGTCTTCTCTTTAAAAAATTAGTGTATTTTTAACTTATATTTTGGTTTCTATGTACTTCCAGCTTATGCGTAGTTAATAAAACTTATTGTTTTCTTTTTTAGTCTTTATTGTGTTATGTAATTGTTTAAAACAATTATAAAAAAAATTCACATGTTAAAACAAAAAGTTAGCTTACCTTTTTATTTACTAAAACATTTGTGAAATGAAGTGATTTTAAGTGAAATTGAAACATCATTAAATTTTTAAAAAAATGACTCTCATGTAATGTTTTTAGTACTGCAATATGCAGTTTAATCATTGTATATATTGTAGTTAACTAGAGACAGATTTTGTTTTTTTAGCTCTCTTTGAATTTTCGTGAAACCCTTGAGACGTGGAATAAATCTACTCAAATGTGGTTGAGATACATTGCATATGATCGTGCCCCTTCACACAAAACAGTCTGGACTTACCTCCTCTCAGCATTGTGGCATGGATTCTATCCAGGATACTATATCACCTTTCTTGGTGGAGCAATCTTCACTCTTGCTGCAAGATCTGTAAGTATCCTTTTTAAATTACAACTTTTTCTTTTCAAAAAAAAATTATTAATTGCATTATTATTATTTTGCATTATATTTCGAATATTTAAAGAAATAAAACAATGAAGTAGAACAGGAAATGTCCGGGAACTTAATTGAAATACCTAAAAAGTTAGGAAAATGAATAAATTTATGTTTGAAGCTTGTTAAAGTCCAATATTTTCCTTAAATTATTGACTTTGTAATGAATTGTAAAAAAGTAGATAATTTTCTACTCTAATCGCATATATTAGTGCTTTTATAATGTATTTTAATTTGAAGAATTAAGCATTACTAAAAAAATTAATAATAAAATATGGATCACCAGTCATTAAAAACAGAAAAATTCAATACAGTCAGTCTACAGGAATTTCTTTTTCTGAGTATTTATCGTCCCACATGGTAACAGTTGTTAGACAAGTACAGAAGATTGCTAGACATAGATGTTACAGTTAATATTGGCTTTGTAATGAATTGTAAAAAAGTAGATAATTTTCTACTCTAATCGCACATATTAGTGCATTTATAATGTATTTTAATTTGAAGAATTAAGCATTACTAAAAAAATTAATAATAAAATATGGATCACCTGTCATTAAAAACAGAAAAATTCAATACAGTCAGTCTACAGGAATTTCTTTTTCTGAGTATTTATCGTCCCACATGGTAACAGTTGTTAGACAAGTACAGAAGATTGCTAGACATAGATGTTACAGTTAATATTGGCTTTGTAATGAAGTGTAAAAAAGTAGATAATTTTCTACTCTAATCGCACATATTAGTGCTTTTATAATGTATTTTAATTTGAAGAATAAAGCATTACTAAAAAAATTAATAATAAAATATGGATCACCAGTCATTAAAAACAGAAAAATTCAATACAGTCAGTCTACAGGAATTTCTTTTTCTGAGTATTTATCGTCCCACATGGTAACAGTTGTTAGACAAGTACAGAAGATTGCTAGACATAGATGTTACAGTAAATAGCCAAAATCCATTAATACTCACAGATTTCTTGTAAAAGCATCTGCTATTGTAACTACAGATTTCGAGAAAAAACAAGAATTTTATTTTCCAAGTTAGAATGCAATTTTCCCGTGCCCTGTATCAGCTTTGGAAATTTCTCCTGCATCCTTCAGAGCATGTATTTTCAAGTTTTATGGCAATATTGCCCATGAACAATGGGGCACCTCGGACAATCAGAGACAAGCTAAATTGTGACTGCCATAGCTTCTTAAGCTTAACAGGACCAGTGTGAGGAAGAACTCTCACTGGACACCTTTATACTTTCAAGAGACATAATGGGTATTGAATCTGATTCTCTTTGTCATCTTGAGGAGGAGACTTTGTGATTGTGAGATCTATTCTGCTCAAAGATTTGAGCATTTAGGGCAACACTGCATTAAGACCAGAGAATTACAAGATATTTCTGTCAGTTAAACTTTGTTTCAGCTATAAAGTTTTTCCGCTAGTCATGATTTAGTGTCTGTTCGATGTGCCCTGCTCTTCAGAGCTGCCCAACCTCTAACCGAGTTTAACTTTCAGTTAAAATTTGTTCTTGCTACAGGTTTTAAGAGCTCATCTGGCATTAGCTAGTAACCCACATTAATAATCAATGAATGATAAAATCTATAAATCAACTAATTAGAAAATCAATTAATTAAAAAATCGAAATGGGAACCAATCTAACCAATTAGCAAACTCATGAATAAGTAAAAGGAAGAATCAGCAAATAAATTCAGCTATGCTATGAAAGATTAGAGAAATCAGTGAATCACTGTTACAACAAATTAACTAATCACTAATTCTTAGACCTGCTGATTCATTAATTTGCTAATCTGTTAATACAATGACTTGTTTTTTGTTTTTAAATTTTATTGATGTTCTGATTCAATGTTTCAATGATTTGTTCTTTCTTTTATTAATCAGCCTGCTAATTTACTTTTAGTGGTTTTTTAGTCCATCTTGTTCTCTTGTTCATTTATTTATCCATTCACTTGTGTATTTACATAAATTTTTCTTTTGTTTGTTGATACATTAATTTGATGCTTCACTGATTCATCAGTTTGCTGGCCGGAATTAATGATTTACCTGCTGATTCACTTTTTTAAGTGAAATTCTGATCCGTTTATTGATTTACTCATTCATTAATTAACTCAATATTCAATGTGATTATTCATTAAATTACTAATTCATTGATTTGCTAATTAATTTATGAATTTGCTTATTTCTTTATTCTCTACATGGAAAACATTTTTCTTACATAATTTGGCTACTTACTGATATATAGTGAAAACGTGCTTTCACTAAGCGTTCAGTAAAAATCAGGAATGAAATTTTGCTTTGGATCTTAAAAAGATAATAATCTCTACGAGTTTAATATTCTCTTATAATAGATTTTTTTTGTTCTTATATTTTTTATGAATTCTTTTAATACTTAATTTTTGTTTTGTGTACTAATATTAAACAGGAAATTAAAAAATATGTTTTTCAATTATATTTTGTTTAAAAAAATTTAGTTTTATATTTTCTACAATAAGTACTAGAGGTATTCTTAAATGTTTGAGATACTCACAATACCTGTTTGCACCCACTACAATTGTTATGGCATCAAAGGTTTTTATACTTCAAAAAATATGTATTGTAATGTAAAATATGTACTTCTTACTTGTATATATGTGAAATATGTACTTCAAGAAATATGTAAAATATGTGGCTACGAGCTACACCGTTCAAATTAGCCTTGTTCTTTTTTCTTTTTAGTTTTTTGCAAGTCATGTTACTCCATTTAGGAAAATTCTTGACACATGTAGAGCAATACAAAAATCTCCCCAAAGGGCTTTATGTTCTTCAAAATCTTCCTGTTTAAAAAAAATTATTTATTACAAATTGAAAAATCATATGAATTTATTTCCTTGCTTGTTTCAGAACTTTTTTAAATTATGATAAAAACATAAACACCAAATGAATGCGTATAATAATGAAGAAATTTTCAGGCACAATTTAGTGAAGGAAAATTCAGAAATGTAAGACCGTGTATCAATATTGATTTTTTTTTTCAGATACGAAGGAGTGTTCGGCCATTATTCCAAAGCAAACGATCCCTGTCTAGGCTATATGATGTCATAACCTGCGTTACAACCAGAATTGCCCTGGCCTACATTGTCTTTCCCTTCATTCTTCTGGAATATCATGCATCCCTTGCAGTCTACAAGTAAGTCCTGCTTTCAGAAAGGCCACTTTTTTACGGAATTTTACATTTTTAATTAATTAGTATTAACTAGTTAATAATAATTAGTTAATTAAACTAAACCCTGAGTAAATTTAAGTTAAATTTAAAGTAACTCGAGGACAATCCAGAGATTATATAAAAAACAGTTTAAGTATCTAATCCAATGTTTCCTGCCTGATGTTTCGTTTCTGATTTTTTCTGATTCTTAAATAATATTATGTAAAAATTTTAAAAAAACTTAAACTTTCTTGTCATAAAATTTTAAACGGATTAATTGGATGCCATATACTTATTTACTATTTTTAGAAAATGAAATCAAATCTTATATGAAGATAAATTGTTTCAAAAATTTAAATTGTTCCCTTTGCCCTGTTTATTTAAAATGATTTTAATCCAATTTGCAATTCATTATACACTAAAATTTTATTATGACTCACAGGCTAATTTTTTGAATTGTCTAATTGCTACTAAAATTAGTGAAACTCTTTTAATTAAAAATATTAAAGCAAATTTCAATTGAGATTCTGTTAAGTCACGGCTTTTGAAACAACTAACGAAATAATTTTATAATTCAAAGTGAATTAACCTAAAATGTTTATAAAATAAGCTATATTTTATTTAATGTAATAACTATTTTAAGCTATAATTTTCATTATAGTTTAATTCGTAATTTTGAAAGTTTTAATTTTTGTTACTAGCTCTTATTCTGAGTGGTATGTCTGCTCTTTTATTTTTAATACCTCCCTCAACCTGATTACTGCAACCCCTTAATTTTTGGGATCTTGAATTTCTGAAAGTGTTCTTCTATGAAAAAGTGTTTTCTGTGATAGTTTCCAAAAGCTGAATGAAGTATTTTTTTTATATTTTCAGAAGTATGGTTTGAAAATATGTTTATTGGGTGTTAATCTTTCAAATATGGGATTTTTTATTTGTCTTTAGCAAATCAGATATTATTTTGGTAGATTATAACATTTTAATAAGATGAATGGTTTATACCAAGAAAATTTTATTTCTTAAAATTTCATGTAAAGTGTAATGTAGTTACTATTACTTATGTTTGCATGGATGCAACTCGTCAGTCCTGGGAACTGAAATCAGTCTTGAGAGAAAATCAGTAGATTAGGTTTTCTAAATTAATATCTCTTTTCCATTTGTTTTTTTATGCTAAAATTTCTGTTTTTCATTAAAAATGTGAAAAATATTTTTATGTTCAATAAAATAAATATTACATTTTAATGTAAACATTGTTAATTTTTGTAATTGTTGCCAAATGATCAGGTAATGATGTAACTCAGCAATTAAAGAATGAGATTGCCTGCTTCAACGTCTTCTTGCTTAGACAAAATTTGTACGTTAGTATCTAAATTTGCTTGTTTTTTCCCCACTCCCTCTCAAATAACAGTGTAGGATGCTCATTAGCAACAATGCTGTAAGCAACGCACCTCACATTGTGATGTAGAAACTTTTAATGATGATAATTTTAAAAAAATTTAAAATCCATAAGCGGCAACACTGATTTTTTTTAATGAAGTATTACCGTATGCTGCAACAGTTGTATTTTATGAAATGTCTATTCTTCTGAAGTATAAACAGGCAAGAATGTGACTATCACATTGTAACTAACCCTCTTTTGTTTTAACATTGCTTGAATATGCATTAAAATTTTAAAGATATTATAAATTTGGCCCTACCATCTGTCCCCAAGTGTTTTTTTTTTTTTTTTTCTCATTAGACTTTAAGATTTAAATATGTACAATTTCTTCTCTTTTTTTCTTTTTTATATAGAATTTGCCATGAAACAAAGTAAGTAAAAAACTGATTGACAAAACTTCATTCCGCGTCAAATAGGATATTAATATACTTCCAGTATTAAAGACAACTGCCTCTGATTTGATGGCATAAAAGCATTCGATGTGGGAGAAATATATAAAAAGTTCTTATCACTCTAATCCCTCTTCATTATTATATCATATTCTAATGTTTTTCACGAGAATCCTCATAATTTGCTTTGACTTAGGTAATGATTTTCCAAATTTAGACTATTTTNTTTTTTTTTTTTTTTTTTTTTTTTTTTTTTTTTTTTTTTTTTTTTTTTTTTTTTTTTGTAAAAAAAAAAAAAGGAAAGAAAGAGACCAAGAAAGACATGACCTTTGAAAAATAAAATTTGAGTTTTTTTTTTAATGTTTCTTTTATCACTTAAATGCCGAAACTACTAAAACTATTACCGATTGTATATCTGCGAATCCATGTTGGTATTATACAAATTGCTCTCATTACAATACAATACAATCAGCATCCTTAAATTGTTCTTAAGTTTGGAGGCAATTTTGTTCTTAATTTTCTAGCCCTGAACGGAACCAGTGTATTAAAAATAATACCTGTTTGTGTTTTTGTGGAAAAAGGGATTTGCAATAAATTTTGCATTAAGATCTGTGATACCTTTGCCCAGCCTCAATACTTCTCAAGGCCAAATACAGTACACTCTCGATATCTCAAAGTCGAAGGGACGCTAAAAAAAATATTGATATAGCGTGCGTTCGAGATAACAAGTTCAGTACTGAATATGTTTTAAAAAGTAGAAAAGTATTACTCTAAAAAGTGAAGTCATGAAACATAAGAATAACTACTGATAAATATGAATGTAATGATAGTTGACTATAAGACAAAATTAATTATGTGTTAAATATGAAAGAATTGGTTTACAATAAACTTGTTGTGATTTTTCTGTAAAAAAATTTGATTTCCATTTCGAAAAATGTGACATAGCAGGGTTTTGAGAAGAAACCCTTCGACATAGGAATTCAAGTTAACATTGGGTGTAGATATAATGCCAATACCGAAAATAATTTTGTCGACTCAACCAGTTTTTCGAGATATCGAGAGTATACTATATTTCCTTTATCTGAAGTAGGTCTGATCCCAATAACATTGAATAATCGAGATTCCTACTATTTTATGGCAATAATCCATGTAAATGTTCTTACTGATTTTCAGGAAATTCTATTTTTCGGGCCACCTCTTAGCTCTGACCGGCATCTTCATCCTTCCTCACCTCATCTCCCCCATCAGATCAAGTCTTCTCAGCAGTCGCAAGACCATCCACAATAAATAAATCTTCCCCATAAAATATACTTATTTTTATGACATTCCCTTTTTACACGCTCTTTTTTGACGGAATTGTATGTGTGCCCTCAATTATATTTTAGAAGTCCCTCATTTGATAATGAACACATTTTTTGAAAACCAAAATTTAATGTCAAGTGTCATTTTTTAAATGCTGTTGGAGCACATGAAGCAGTATGATAGATATTTTTGCTCTTTTCTAGCTTTTAACTCCATATTTTATTTTACTTTATCAAGATTTGAACAGCTTTTGGAGTGCTACTCACCAAATTCATATTTTAAGTGTGAAAAGTTCTTAAGTCTTGCTATTTATTTTTTTCTTTGTGCATTATTTTTTTAATTTTAAATCCAAATATATCAAACAAATTAAATATAAACTTCAAATATTATTTTTTAATTTTACTCAAAACTGCATCTTTATATGGGACAATTAACCTCAAGTATGAAAGTTCTTTCCTCATATAAAGTTATGTTTTTGTAAATAATATGCATTTTTTTTCGGTCATTTATGACAGTTTCTGACTCTATGCTGATGTTGAAAATACAAGTAATGTCAATAAGAAAAAGAAAAGCCACTTTAAAAGGAAAAAAAGTTTTTGTGATCTAATTTTTTAATATTTATAAAATCACACTAACACTGTGTTTGAATTTGTAAAAATGTTCAAAAAATTGAGAAATATTGATTTTTATGTATTTGTGCATATTTTTGTAGATATAATTTTTTTTTTTAATACTTGACTGTTTGATAGCCAAAAGTTTATATTCTGAGCATGATAATCTATATTGTTCAAAATTAACAGATTGATTCATACCGTTATACAATGCTTTCATCATTTTTCATACCATTATACAATGCTTTAAATGTTGGTGTGGAAAAAATACTGTGACTAGTGAGTAGCTTCAATATTTTTTTTTTTTTTTTTTTTNTTTTTTTTTTGTCTGTGCATTTCTTCCCATAAATTTTTCTCATCAATTTAATTTTAAGTGTACAGGTTTTTTTTTTTTAATTACGATTTTTTAAAAAAGTAATCATTAGAAAATGTCTCAATATGTTTTATACAATTATCCATCTTGCACTAACTTCTGAAAAACTTCGTTTTTCTCAAAGATGTAAATTTCTTAGTGTGATATTTTCGAATTTTCTTTTTCTTGTTGATTCTTTTAAAGTCTAATTCATTGTTTTATTGTAATTTATTCCCAATGTATAATTTGATTTTTTTTCTCTTATATTTTTGAACTGCAAACATAGTCCTGAACTTTGAGTCAGTTGTATTTTAATAATGTAAATGATGCTGACAAAGGTAAGACGAAATGTTTTAAATTGGACTGATTCCATTTTTTTTCTAGATCATTTTAATGCATTTAACAGCTATTTCAATGCTTTGTATAAAATGTCTCAGCTTCTGTGCATTTAAAAAAAAAAGGGTGGCTCATTTGCATTAATTTTTTTTCCCAAAATTATACTTTTTTTCCTTAAAGAATTTCAGGAGAAACATAAAATGACAGAATACAATATGATAAGACCTGAAATATAGAAATTTTAAATATCTAGATTTTTCAAATAAAACAACCACACTGCTCAGAGCATTGCTTCGTATTATCAAATATTTGTCTAAGTGTTTTTATATGCATTTCAAGTAAAAAATAATTCTTTGCAGATTTAAAGTTGTCATAATTGATCTAAATTAAATTATGAGTTAAAAAAGCTTTTGTGTCAAAGATCGAAGTAATTAAAAAAAAATTGTGTTTAAACCATTTAATGTACTCTTGCATTTATTTAAGCCTGACAAACAATGATTATTAAAAATCAATGTTGTGCCTAAAACAAAACTGCTCGTTCCTTTAATTGTTTATTTTATTCATTTGAAAGTTATACACTTAGTTGCAAATGATATTGTATTTCATATGAAAGTACATGTAAGAATTTAAAATGAATTAAATCGCAATTTAAAGAATTTGCTATTTTGTCATATGTAATATAGTATCATATACAGTAGAGCGCTGATTATCCGAACCCTTATTATCCGAACTATGTCCGAATTCACTTTTTTTTCTTTTTTTTTTACAAGTTTAGAATACTTTTTAACTTATTGACAATTTTTCTAAATTTAGTAGAATAAATAATATTCACTACATCTGAAAGCCATACTTAATTTACAACCTTTTTTTAGCAGTTCACTTATAGTAGCTTACATGTATTATACAGTTAAACCTACATACCCCTTTATCCCTCTTCGACTGAAAATTATCTTCCAAGAATACGAGCTTCATTTTGACAGTCTACAATGGTTTTAATGCGGAAGGAGTTTATGAATAGATAAGTGCTGGAGTTCTACAATTGGGAGATGGGTAATTGTCACTTATGGTTAATTATTAATGATTAAAGTGCTTGGAATCTTAAATCTTGGAATAAAATTTTTAACAAAAAAACAAACAAAACTGTAGTTTCTGAATCAGTAAATTTTCCGGATGAAAAGATGCCAGGTTATACAGCAAAAAAGAAATAGAAGACTGCTGTCGAGACACTGAAAACAATCCAGAATTTTAAATTATGATGAATTGTTGCTGAAATTTTGAATGAAAATCGGAACTCCTCAGAGGAAGAAGTAGGTGATCAAGTTCAATAGGATAGGAGCATGCAATTCATTAGATATAGCATTAAATTGGCTAGAACGTCAAAATGATGTTAAGCCAGTTCAGTTGATTTATTTAAAAAGAATAAGGGATATGATTGCTCAAAAAAGAGCATCTTCTTTGAAACAAAAGTTTTTGCTGGATACTTTTGCAATGGAAAATGAAGAAAAATGTGGTAAAAATCAGTAATTGACAAAAAAATGATAAAAAAGCAGAAATATGATAAAAATAATTCAAATTGAAGAAAAAGTAATACAAATAAATATTTAAAAATTTAAAAAATAAAGTTTTAAACACGCCAGAGCTATTTTAGATAGTACTGCCAGTCCTAAGCCTAGAAAAAGTGTGAAGGGAAGTTAGTGCATAAATAATAATCATTTAAACTAGATTTTAAACAACTTTCCAATTATCCGAACTTTTCATTATCTGAACCATGTTCGGTCCCGAGCAGTTCGGATAATCGGCGCTCTACTGTACTATATAATTTATATGTAGTTATATGAAGGATTCAGTGCTTTCCTTTCAAAGCTTCTAAATTATTTCATTTCATGAGCCACCTCTGATTGCTTTTATTTTTCGTGTGTTATGTATTGTCTTTTATTTTTATTATTTTTTTACACTAGTGCTTAATTTTTGCTTTATCATTTTTTTAATTAGCATTCCGAGCATCTTTTAGACATTTATTTATTCTTATATGCTTGTCAGTTGTTTTCAAGTGCTTTATTTTAGTATTTTGTTTTATCAGTTGTAAGCATTTACTTATTATTGGGCAATTAGTAATAGAACTGTTAGGTATAGTTAATTTGAAACATTATTTTAGTTTCCATGTTTGTAATCTCACTAAAATGGGTAAGACATGTTATAACTTTGATTAGAGAATTCTTTGTATAGTAATTTTAATGTATTGAATTTGATTGATTTGAAAAATAAGCATTTTTTTCTAAAAGATATAAAAATAAAATAAAATTTAGTATGTGTTCTGAAATGCATTGCATGTACAATCAATTATTTCCAAATTTTTTAGCAGTTTTATTTAAAGTATAAAGTAATTCTATCATTTAAAAGAAAAACAGCATGCATTTATTNAAAATAAAATAAAATTTAGTATGTGTTCTGAAATGCATTGCATGTACAATCAATTATTTCCAAATTTTTTAGCATCAGAAAAACAGCATGCATTTATTTTAAATTAAATTTAAAAAAAATTTTGAAAAATATTTTAAAAGTTTAAATTTTTTATATATTGTTTAAATTGTGAAAGATCCTTAATTATATGAATGATCAATATGTTGTACGCTTAATATATATATATATATAAACCTTTTTTTTTTTCTTGTTCATAATTTAAGTTAAATGCAATCTTTCAGATACTCTTATAAATTCTAATTCTTAATGCTTTTTAGATAAATTTTTAAAGCTTATTTTAAGATTTGTTTTGAAACAATTGAACTTGTAAAATATTAATCAAATGTTTCATTTTTACCTAACTGTATAAAATTATATCTACTGCAGAAAAAGAACAGATTTATAACTATTCAAAAGATTTGTTGCTGGTTTACATTCTGTATTAAATGGGCATATATTCAATTCTACTTGTTTCCTCCAATATTTCTAGAATCAAAATTTTTCTAAATGCTATACATTTTATAAAAAAATTTCTTTTGTTTAAACATCTTCAATATGATGCTATTGGCTTTAATTTCAGCAATATAATTTTGTAATTGCGGCTAATACTAAAAAATTACAAAATTCAATAATTTTGTTATTTTTTAAAATTTCCCATTTAATGGGGAGGAAAATCATGAGATGTTTCTGAAATAGATTTTTTATTTTTTAATATCTCGTTAAAATTTATATAAAAGAGTAAGGATATAAGTCTATATAAAAGAGGGTCTATATAAGGAAGTCTATATAAAAGAGTAAGGAGCATAATTGTATTTATAAATTAGATGACCTTTTGTAAGCTTAAAATACTGTTTTTTATAACTGCAAAATCGAATAACTTCAATATTCTGATAAATTCAAGTAAATCAGGTGAACAGTAACATTTTTCAAACCATCATTAACAAAAGTCTTTAAAGTGTGCTCTTACATTTTTGATAATACATGTGCTTAGTTTTGCCGTTATAGTTTTTCAATTTAAATATAATTCACAATATCTAGAATTGTATATGAAATATAAAATAGGAACTTGGCTCACAGTCCAGTATTTTTAGATTTTTGATCCGAAGAGATCTTGCCTCACAGAGAATATGAAAGAGCTAAATGTTGAGGAAACAGCTCACAGTGTTTCTTGACTGTTTCACATACTTTTATTATTAAGAATAATTTTTAAACAACAAAACGAAGCTTCCTGTTTTTTGTATGAGAAATCTAACTTTAAATATACCAAGTCTTTTGGATTATAAGCATGTTTCTAGAATGTATTATGTTTGTGACTCAAGGTTCTATTGTATGTTTTTATTCATTTTCTGAACAATAGGTTTACTTCTGTAAT